TTCTGCATCTGAAAAATGTGTATTTCATTATTTTTGTGCTCTTATGTCCAGGACCGCTGGATAGACACATATAGTAAACGTATTAATATACCTGAAGCCCTGGAAGTACAAAGCAGCTCCCCCACAGCTCGTCTGCCCCAACCAAGAAGTGGGGGAGGGTTATGAGGTCCTCAGGAAACCAGCAGCAGAACTAGGAATCCTCAATTCTCAGCCCTATTCTAATTATATTTTTCCTTACAAAGCATAGGGATTTTTAAATTAAATAAATTCATTGCAGCCCCTTTCTTTCCTTTGCCTTTGCTGTGCAAATACAAAAGAAAAACTTTCAGAGAGTTCCAGAAGCGAATGGCAAGAAAGCTGTTAAATCATTTAGTCTGTTCTCACTCAGTGCAAGCTGATTTCTTTGACCTTGACTACACTAGAAAGTTGAATCACTTTATCTATGCCAGTACAGTTAAGTTATGTACTTAACCGCGTGAATGCAATTATACTGGTATAAAAATGCTAGTGGACCCATTTATCTTGGTACAACTGTGGGTTGTACCAGTTTAACTACATCAATTAAAAATAATCACAGGCTAATACCACATGGCCATACACTAGCAATGGGCAACCGAGGCTAGTGAGTGGGTTGCATAAGTGGCCCTCCTTCATCTCAGTGAGTAGCAAGACTGTCATAACAAAGACAGTCTCCTGGGATAGGACAGTTTTGCTAACAGTGTGGCTGTGTCTATATTGGCCCCTATTCCGTAATAGGGATGCTAATGTAGCACTTTGAAAAAGGCAAATCCCCGGGGGGGTTAAATATCCCCCGCGGCATTTGCATTAACAGGCAAATCCGCGGGGGGTTTAAATATCCCCCGCGGCATTTGCATTAACATGGCTGCCGCTTTTTTCCGGCTTGTAGATAAGCCGGAGAAAAGCTCCAGTCTGGACGCGATCCTCCGGAAAATAAGCTCTTTTCCAGAGGATCTCTTATTCCTACTTGAAATAGGAATAAGAGATCCTCTGGAAAAGAGCTTATTTTCCGGAGGATCGCGTCCAGACTGGAGCTTTTCTCCGGCTTATCTACAAGCCGGAAAAAAGCGGCAGCCATGTTAATGCAAATGCCGCGGGGGATATTTAAACCCCCCGCGGATTTGCCTATTCCAAAGTGCTACATTAGCATCCCTATTACGGAATAGGGGCCAATGTAGACACAGCCTGTTTGTGTACCTAAACTTTGGGGAGCATGCCAGTTGAACTGTAGCAGCACTTTGACTGGTGCAGAAGGAATGCACAGTTCTCTCAGTCAATATTGTGTGAAATCAGCATGCACCTGACTTCACATGCCCTTGCTTTATATGCATGTCACTTCAGCAATATTGGTAGGAAAAATAAACTATGCGGACAGGAAGCAGCAGAACCTGGCAACCCTGCGCATGGGCAAGAGTAAACAAAATGTCTCACAGGCCACATATAGAACCTCAGTGGGCCACATGCTGCCCAAGGGCCCCAGGTTGTCCATCACTGCCATACAATGTGCCCAGTAGAGAGCTTGATGGTTGGCTGCTTTTACTTTTGCAGACCATTGTTGGTAATTGCTTCCTTTTTAATAGGAATGTATCCCTATTAATCTGTGACAAAGCCATGAAATGGGTTATTTCCACCATGACTAACATGTAACATTTGTCAGATATGTCCATAATGCAACGACTGACATAGTTAGCAAAGTGAGCTCTGCACACCAGAAAATGTGATGCAGTTTACTGGACTTGCCAGCAATTGAATGGCAAATTAGATTTACTGTGCTGTTCAAATTGTACAACAGCCAAAGCAGTAGAGCAACAGAGAATTCCCAGGTTCTCTCCCCTTTCCCTTTACTGTAATCATTGTACATGTAGATATTTCACTCTCCCAGAGGTTTTGGCAGTAAGAGGCAATTGGTACAAAGTGAAAGGATTCCCAGACAAGAACTACTGTCTCTTAGTAGGTCAGGGACCCATAATACAGCTATATAGCACAACAAGGTACAGCACACCCTCTTCTCAAGTTACCACCACACCACCAAGGGCGTACTTTTCTACATGCATCTGTCATTCCTCTGGTTGATTTCGCCTTTCTGAAACCCCAATTCACAAGCTAAGAAAATACCTTGTACAGTTTTTATATGTCATGAAGAACCAGAGCCACCATTTTGAAACTGGGAGGCCTAGCGTTAGATGCCCCATTCCAATTTAAGGTACCTAAAGGGCTGAGAATTTCAAAGATGTTCAGCTTACACTACTCCTAGGTCAAGTTTCTTGAGACCAAAGGACGCTGTGGATGCTGCATACCTGTGAAAATCAGGCCTTTAATTTTTGGGTGCCTAAACATGGAAAGAACTGCCTTACTTTTATGCAAGCAAGTCTGAAACATGGGTCTCTGCTTACTCAGTGTTCTCTTCATTTCTTTGCAACAGAAGTTTACCATAAAAATCTCCACGAGATGGCACTGGTACTCAATGCTGCATTTCTACAATCCTAGCTCTTTATTTATGCAATACTAATAGCTACTGACACTAGGCTTTTCCTTGCAGAAAGGTACGCTAATGCCTGAGGAACGCTCATTTTAAAAGGCATAATGTGTTCTTTATCACTATGTTTCCTCCCCTTTCTAAAACAGAATCCTCCCATTCCAGTGCTGTACAGCGCTGAACATGCAGTTCTTCCAACACAGAACATAAAATGGCAATTGGGGAGCAACTAGATCATTGTATTTAGCAGCCTAATACAATCGGACCCTAATCAATAAACCACAACCCTACTGAGGACTGAGGGCACTGCTATAAGTAATAGCTAATAGACTATCTGTGCTACCCATCAGGGACAAACTAAGGAGGACTTAGAATTAGCTTGTGGAGCTACATGAATCAGGAGACAGATCTGGATAATTATGGGGATTTATTGGGGGGGAGAGGGAAGTTTGGTTGACTTTATATTTTAAAAGGCAAGTCATTATTATGTATTGTTTGTATAATCATAATGCTTGGGCATCCCTGTCATGGACCACAATCTTATGTGCTAGGTGCTATACAAACTGAATAATAGAGACAGTCCCTTCAACAAAAAACTTCCAACCTTCAGCCAAGATCTCTTCCACTGAAGACATTGTCTAAGGCCAATAAGTGGGTATAGCCCTGGGCAGATGAAAAACAGACCCTAGGCTTGCTCAGAGAGCACTGAAGCTCACTGAAGTGGCTTTGGGTATGTGTGAGAGAAAAACCCACACACAGCACGCCTCCCGTACAGCATGGGTCCACAGACATTAAAAATTGCAGTGTAGACATTTCAGCTTGGGCTGGAACTCTGGCTCCGAAGCCAGAGCTCCAACCCTGGCTCAAGCCAGATCATCCATGCAGTTATCTGTACTGCCATAGCACAAGCCATGCAAGCCCGAGACTGTGGACCTGGATTCTAAGGCTCTCCCCTGTGGCTGGAGGCAGAAGAAAGGTACAGGGGAGGAGCAAGGAGGGAGGGAAGGGGCCATTAGCTGGTTGGTTTTGCAGCATAGATGGACTTTTACTTAGTATTTGGCACAGGAAATTGTTAATAATTAGATGGCTTCTATCCTATTAGAGGGTGTTATGCCGTTTTGAAATGTTAATGAATTAAGCTCACAACTTTTCCTCGTTTTGATTAGGCACTAATGGGCCCATTTTATGGGCTAGGAAAAGGAGATACAAAGCAGGGAAATAACTAATCCAAGTTAATACAGGATGGCTCTTGCAGGAGTAAAACTCTAATCTCCTGATGTTCTGTGCTTTTAACCACTAATGGTCTCCTCCCACTTAGCCATGGTCTTTTTGATAATCTCTTGCATTCACTTTACCATAAGCGAGAAACTCCCTGCCAGCATGAGCCTGTCCATTTTACAGCCATGCAGTGGGTTCTGCTAGCTGTAGACAGAGATCACGATAGCATCGAACTCGGGAGACTGCCAGAAGTTGAAAACCTGCCCTTGCGCTCACCTCTTGAAGCTGGGATTCTTTCTTCTTAGAAGAGAGGTTTAAGTGTTTTTCTAAGACCCCACAATATTTCTCTGTCTCCTTGTCATACTTCTTCTTGGCATCCTACCAAAAAAACAAACATCATTAAATAAATGTTAGATTAAAGTTTAAACCATGAAGAGCAGTCACATGACACTGGCTTCTTAGGACCCCGACACCAAGTTACTGTATTACTGCTATTACCACTGCAGCTCGGAGTCCTCGGCATGGGCCAAGGCTTTAATATGCTCGACGTTGTTCAAACACAGAACAAAAACTGGCTGGCATTCTAAACACCAGAGGACAGGTGGGGGAGTGCAAGGCAACAGGAAGCAATGCTGCTCAGCACGACCAGACGCGGTCTCAGCATAGCAGCAGCCTCACTGTGGTCAGCCGAGTGTGGAAGAGCCATTTCCAACAGGGAGCACAGTTCCAATGTAACACTGTCATGTCAAAAGGAATTGTAACCAATGTATCTATGAAAACTATGAGGAGAAATAACTAAGCACTTCTAAAAAAAAAAAAAGCAAGAACAGTCGAGTTCACCGTGCTGCAACACAGAAAGAAAACACATACCAAAAGCCTGACAGCAGCTTACGGCTTAGGTGCCTTCTTCCCTTGGCCCAGTTTTTCTCTGGACTTGATGTGGTCAGTCAGTCAGTCTCATTAACAAAGGTGAAAGTTAACTGTGGCCACAACGAAATGGCCTGAGGCCCTCACAACTGGCCACTGAGCAGTTAATGGATTTCAGCCACTACTAAACAGTCCGATTTATATCCTGACCTAGGAACAGAGACTTTCTACTCATTCCTAAACTCCAAAGGTCATCAAATATCCAGTCCCCAGAGCTGATCCAGAGACATTTCAGGCACTCAGTGCTACCCATCGGCCACACCCCGCCAAGAATGCTAGCCCAAGCCTATCATCCAACACTCTGCCCATCAGAGTGACACATTTAGCTCGGCATGTGTCCCTCAGTAGGATAGAACTGGAAGCTTCAAATGGGCCCATCAACATCTCCCCACTTCCTTCCATTTTCCTCCCTTTCTCTCTCCTCCTACTTTCCTTCCCTTGTCCCCTCATCTCCACAGTATGTTTAGGAATGAACCTGCAGCACTGCAGCAAAGAGGTGCATTCAAAAGGCTTCCCCTCTCCTACTTATCCCCTCCGCTAGACCCCAGCTCAAAAGACTCAGGAAACATGAAGCAGAGAAGACGGCTGCATTGTAAGTTTTAAAATGCCGATGATTTTTCAAGACCACGTTAGAATTAGGGATGTAACTGCGAAGCCTTAGTAGCTCCGGTTAACCAAGAGAGGCTAGAGCAACTCCCCACCTGCACCAGGCACAGGGCTACTCCAGCCAACAGGCCAGAGCAGCTCCTGTTTGTGGCAGACCCAGTCTGCCCCCGCCCCCCCCAACACACACACTCCACACACTGCCTTCCCAGCTTCAGTACGGGACAGCAGGTGGCTCCCACCTGCCATCCTGCGCTGCTGCCTCTGTATCTGAGGCAGAGCACGGGATGGCAAGCAGCACACTAGGAGCTGGCTTCAGCATGGGGTGGCAGGCAGCTCCCCGGGAGCCAGTACATGCAGCTTCTGTCTTGCACCAGCTCCCTATGAGTTGCCTGCCACCCCACGCTGCTGCCTCTGCATACGCAGGGAGACAGCTTAAAAACCAGCTCCCGGTGTGCACCGGCTCCCGGGGAGTTATCTGCTGCCCCACATGTAATTATGCAACTGCTGACATTTTTAGTGGTGATGCAGTTAGCCAATTATATCCATTTTAACATCCCTATTCAGGAAACAGCAGTATCACCTCTCCCCACACTGTAAGCACTTCCCAAGGACTCTGCCATCTCCCCTGACACTGAGAAGATACCAGAGGAATCTTCTGAAGTTGTGAAGGATTTACAATTCTGATTGAATGCAAACCATCACACTTTGGCTGACTATCCTAGCCCTTTCCTTCTTGGGAATAAATATTCCAGTTGTTACCCCCACATAAAACAGGTAGTCCACATTCATTGCACCAACAGCAGACACCTTGCTAAGGCACTGCTCTGAGAGACAGGGCAACCTTCTCCACAGAATCTGATATTATTAACGACAGTGCATTTTTCTGAAGGACCTTTTTCAGCTACAGACATCTCCCTAAACTTAAAGCAGCATAAGAATTGCCATACTAGACCAAGCCTGGCACAACAGGACTCTAATCTAGCTGGGGCCCAACACAGTACCGTAATACAGGTAATGAAGCTCATCTACAGTAGGTTCTATTTCTTGCAGGCAGAAACAGGTTGTTATAGTAACAGAAGAGCAGCAGACAGAAGAAGCAGTTGCAATTTTAATGTCAGTGAAAAGACAGGAAAGAGGCAAAAAGCAGTGGTTGTACTTCAGTAGCAGACATAAGAGATACCGACTAATTCAGAAGTCATATATTTGAGATTTGCCCCATTTAGCAAAGCTCTTCTAAATTAAAACTGAATATGTTCAGGTTACACAGTTGGGATGGGGAAAAAAACCTGGATAAAACTGAAACCATTCCAGTGATGCATACAGTTATGTGGGGAATAGATCTAAAGTGTGTGTGTGGAGGGGAATCAGTTGAGAACTTCATCTAAGCACTGCAAACTTTGCTTGAAATTTGAAGAAGGAAAAAAAAAAGTTTGCTTCGTTTTGTGCATCTGGTCCTCGTCCCATCCCACCTACTTTCAGACAGGGTCAGAAGTACCAAAGTACTGTATTCAGGGCTAGAAGTCTCCCAGGAATGGCCCCACCTCCATAGCAGAGGTTTGAAACCGAAGGTATGAAACTTCTGGAAACTATTCCCTCCCAGGGATGACCTTCTTGCACCCCTGTGCGTTGAGTATACAATACTAGTCAGTATATACAAGTCCCGCAGATGCTCAACCCAAACTGGTCATTATTTTGCATATTTCAACCAAGTGTCATTTGGGAGAGATGGCCGGGGGAAGAATGAAGAAAGGAGTTCGCTACATTTTTACACAGTCAGGCATTCCCACTCCTGAGCATGGGCAGAGATTACAGTCACGTCACAGGGCCTGGAAGCACGGCTGGCCTACCTTAGCAGCACCGATTTGCTCCTTGCGGAACTTCTCCAGTGGAGTGATCAAGACCTCACCAGCATTCTCAATCTGATGAGATAAAGGCACAGGTTATCAGCGTCTCTCCAGCACGGTCTCCTCACACCCGCTTGGCTCGTAACTGTTTCGTGTCTGTTCAATTTAAGGTTACGATCTTCAGGCAGCCATCTGCCCTTCCTATGTGTTTATACACATTTCAAGGCAACCTAACCTGGTTTAAACCTATCCAACATCTAAAAAACAAAGAACTACTTGGTCTTTGATCAGAGGATCTCAAGACACTTTGCAAACATTAACTCCTGTGAGAAACAGGATCACTGTCCTGCTTCACAAATGAATAAACTGAGGCACATGAGAAGGGGGAGGAGAAATTTGCTTGTCATATGGAGGAAAAATCATTGCATAGACAAGTATGCGGTCAGTATTAAAGCCAAAAGCCACAAAACCCAAATCCCTAAATCAGTGGTTCTCAAACTTTTTGGTCTAGCCCAATGCAAAGCTTTCTGCAGACCACCAGCAACTAATGGAAACTCAACGTTAATTCTATAATTACACCAGAGCCATTCTGCTAGTGCTGCAGTCAGGGAGAATGGTTTAAATTTAACCAGTAAACATTAATCATTTCTATTAAACAGATTAATCCACTAACCATGGAACCCAAGAAGAGTTAATTTGATCTATGGGAAGCCCTAAACCTCATACCTTTTTTGGTATGAGAGCAGCAGGGGAACTGAGGTGTCTCAATTGGGAGCCAAATCAGTGAGGATTCTGTAGTTTTGGAGGGTGGGTTTTTTTTTGTTTGTTTGTTGGGGTGGGGGTTTTTTTGCTTCTTGCTTGTGAAGTCCCAGACTGCTTTTTTTGGGTCTGTGGCCCCCAACTCGAAAAAGGCTCCCCAACCTTGCCATAAATAAAGACAATGCTGAAAGCTTTTGTGTTTGTCATAAATTAATATTTTTCTTTATTTAAAATGAGTGTTGGTAAACTAACATGAGAAAATTAAAGCACCTAATCTGTTCAGCAATTTAAATGAATATTTACTTTCTTACTGGTTAAAGTACACCACTCTCCCTAACTATAGCACTAGCAAAATGGCTCGAGTGGAATTATATAATTAACCATGAGTTTCCATTAGCTGCTGGGGGTCTGCAGAAAGCTTTGCATTGGGCTAGACCAAAAAGTTTGAGAACCACTGAATTAGGGCTTTGAGTTTTGTGGCGTCTGGCTTTAAAACTGACCGCATACTTGTCTATGCAATGATTTTCCTCCATATGACAAGCAAATTTCCTCTCCCCCTTCCCATGTTCCTCATTTTATTCATTTGTGAATCAGGGCAGTGACCCTGTTTCTCACATGAGTTAATGTTTGCAAAGTGTCTTGAGATCCTCTGATCAAAGACCAAGTAGTTCTTTGTTTTTTAGATGTTGGATAGATTTAAACCAGGTTAGGTTGCCTTGAAATGTGTATAAACACATAGGAAGGGCAGATGGCTGCCTGAAGATCTTGACCCTAAATTGGACACAAAACAGTTACTAACCTCACTCCGTCATTCTTGAGGCAAGCCCATCTCATGCGAAGAGTCTACATTTCAAAATCAATTCGACACTCTCACCAGTTTCTATTCACCACCAACCTCAGGCCCATAAACCTAAAGCCCATTTTTACTCTGCTCTCTATGTGAGCACTGGACAAGTCTCTCTCAACATCATGACCACCCTGAACTTTCAACCCTCCCCACAATCAAAAAATGATATAGAAGCAGCAGAAGGTTTAACTCAGAAGCCACAAGCCTCAAAGTCCCTACCATGCGCATTCGTTCATCTTCAAGATTCCGGAGAACGGTGGCAAATTCTTGCAGAGATTTTGCTGAAAGAAACACCACCAGGTTCACTATGTAAAATACACCGTAAAGTCTCTAACATTAAAAGTAATTTGGGCTACACATTACAATCATGTAACAAGTCTGATGGATCAACCTGGATAGGAGAAGGTTGATGTTGGTTGCCTAGGGGAAGACAACTAGAAGGGTAGCAGATGCTCCTTTACACTAAAGTAAAAGGCTATGTTTTGTTACCGGGATCAGAACATTCAGAGTCCAACTGGATGGATCCTCATCTCCTTCTGTTTGTCCACACAGCAGTGGCCAGGAGGGCTTTTTTCATCATTGCTTAGCAAGAAGGTTGTAGCTTTCGCTTTTGGGTCAGGACCTTCCTATATTTAGCCAGGCCCTTCTCCCACCAGATTCACGGCTGCACTGCTGTAAAACATGAAGGGGCTAATGGCAGGGTATTGCCAATAACTGGATGGATCCTCATCTCCTTCTGTTTGTCCACACAGCAGTGGCCAGGAGGGCTTTTTTCATCATTGCTTAGCAAGAAGGTTGTAGCTTTCGCTTTTGGGTCAGGACCTTCCTATATTTAGCCAGGCCCTTCTCCCACCAGATTCACGGCTGCACTGCTGTAAAACATGAAGGGGCTAATGGCAGGGTATTGCCAATTAAAAGCCCTGGGCCCTAGTTTCTTTGGGCTTCGCACAAGGGTTGGGCCATATTGTTTCTACAGACTGGGAAGAAATTTAATGGAGCTTCTGGGCCCACTGAGACTTCACATGCATTTCTATCACTTGTCAATGAGCCCCTCGGTCTGATCAGCTCCTTCCAGAATTATGAAAAAAGAGATCCCTTTAATGTAGCCTTGCCACTTACCTATGCATATTTCATCGTCTGTTTCTGCATCTCCTATACACCGGAATTTAAACTCATTTAGGGAATCTGCAAACTTCCGCTTTGCTGAAGACAGATCTGTTGAGCAGAGGGGGAGGGAGGGGAGAAATCAGGGGTATTAAGAAGTATGCAACAGTCAGCCATGTCCCTTCAGCCCTGGATGCTGTCAGATCTCCCCCAGGCTCAGCCTACTTGCTTTGATAGTGACTGAGTGAGGTGAACACCCCTGCCATCCAAGAGAAACTCCAGGAGTAAAATCCTGGCCCCATCAGTGAGAGTGCTGCCATGGTCTTCAAAGGGACCCACATGCTGAGTGGCATTCCTCCTTGTGAGTCAGTGCTAAACCAGTGCACCTGGACTGCAGAAAAGGAAAGATGGCAGCCCAGCTGGCCCAGCAGAAGTCTAAACAGGTAACGAATTGCATTCTGCCTCCTATTCTGCTGTAAACCGTAGCACTGTTCATCAGCTGCCAAATTCACCCCAGGCAATGACAGCATTTCAGTGGTGGGGGTGGGGGATGTGAGTCCACTAGATAACTTGCTGCATCTTACATGGCATGTGGTTCTTTTCGCTGAAAGCTGTCTTAAGAGTTAATAAATACACCTGTCTGTTACTGTACCATTCACAGCTTTTAGTCACAATCTAAACCCCTTGAAGTGAGCACTTGGAATAGGCTGCCGCTTCCAAAACAGTATTTTCCAAAGATCCTCATAAGGGTTGCCACATGGTTTCAGAAAAAATAGCCCCCCAAAAAGCATGGGCCCTTTAAGAAACGCATAGTGAGGCTTTTTGACCCTGCCCGCCATCTTGCCTCCTTGCACCAGGCCGCACAGCTCCCCTGCGGAATGCGGTAAGCACTAGGGTTTCCAGGCCGCCTCTGTATTGAGCCGTACAGCCTGGGATTTTCGCCTCCTGGCCAGAAAAAAAAAATTAGAAAGTACCGGACATTTTAGGTGTCCAGTATTTTCTGAATTTTTTTTACTGGACAGGAGGCGAAAATACTAAACTGTCCGGTTCAATACCGGACACCTGGCAACCCTATATGCCTCGGGAGCACAATGTCATCAGGCTCTGGGTGCAAAATATGCTCCAGAATCATGTAGGGACTTTGGAAATCCTGTCACAGTCCCCAGATCTAAATGTAAGCACAGGCACACACAATAAGCAAGATGGTCATCCTAGGAAAGTGAATACATAATCCAGGCGTGGGAAATGATCCAGCATCAGAAAGAGAGACCAGCAAGCAGCAAAACCTGCCAGATACAAGATGAATGGAAGGAAGGACAATCACTGCTCTTGTGAAGGTCCTTTCACCTTCAGAAAGCAACAGAACATCCTGGTTAAGTTCTAGTCCAGGAAATGCATATTTGTGACTCACAAAGATTTCAGTTGGGACCATTTGTGTTTCTTTGGCGGGGGAGGAGCAAAATGCAAAGGGACTTTTGGAAGCTGTTCTGGTCATCAGGATAATTACCCACAAGCACATGGCTCAGCTGTCTGGAAGGGACATGGGAACAAAACGTTTACATTTTTAAAAGGATACTCCCAAGATAACAATCTTTTGCATAAAAGTCTCTGTACTTGTTACTAAAAAGCCCTTTACTTTCTCATCCTTTATATAGTTGCTTTGCCTTTTTGGGGAGGGGGGGGGAGACATTGCCACTTCCACAGAAAAACTAGAACAGCGTATTCGACCTAAGTTGCATGACAACATCCCCTCAAGACCAAGAAGGTATCTTAGAAATCAGACCCGCCATTCTCTAGATTTCAAAGAGGTTTATCTGCAGAAAGGTCCTCTGTGGCACAAAGCAGCCTTTTCCTCTCCACACATACAGCTTTCGCTATATACGCACATCTTTCATCCTTATACGTGCTGCTGCCAGGCCACTTCCAGGATCCACTTATTGGCCAAACTGGTCTCTCCTCCTGTAAACAGTCAGCAACAAGCCCTGGCATCCCATTCCTCTTCTCTCTCCCCACCCCGATACCCTGGGTTTACTTAGAACAGCACTAATGGAGGAATCCAGCTGGCTCCTCATAGGTCCAGGGTCACTGCAGAAGGCCTAGGGGGGATGTGGTTCCATTAGTTTGTTTGTATTTTCCCAGGAAGTTTCTTGCATCCCTGCATTTTTCTTGGGGGGGGGGGGGGGTTCGGGTTTTTTTTGGGGGGGGGGGGGTAGCTGGTTTTATTTGAAAAGAGGATTTTGAGAAAGGGTGGAATGGACAGGGGCTTGCTTCTATTCTTCCAGTGTTGTTGCTCGACAATATAAAGACATCAGGGCAGAGTGGCAGTACATTCAGGGAGCACAAGGACACACCGGCAGCATCATACACCATGGTGTGAACGGCCTCAAATCTTTCTTCCAGAACTGGAAAGTGTAGAGTGCTGGAAGAAGGCCTCTCCAATTAACGCACTGCCAGATGAGCATGGCTGCCAACTCGCAAGTCCCTACCTAAACAGGACTAACTGGGACTCTGAAATGATGCTTTTATTAAGGGCAAATGTAGCAAATGGGTCGGGGCGGTGGGTGTGCACATGTGGGCATGTTAATTTTCCCAGAAAAACATTGTTAAACATCTCAGTACTCAGAATACTGAACTCTGATTATGTTGACACCTGCTGTATTGGATTTCCGGGATTGTCACATAAGCCCCTGCCCACCAAGAGTTTTGATTGTTTTGCAAAACAACCCTTCTGTTTCAGCATCTGACATACAAGACGGAGAACTAAACACTTGTTCACTTCCCTGCCACCTGCACCCCCCACTGCCTAGGGTTGGTGGTGGCTTATGAGGGTTGAGTTTGACTGGATCACTGAGGATCTATGCCAATCTTCTGCTTTCCTAGTTAAAAATAAAGGAACTAATGTTAATTACACAAGGAGCCATTTCCTGTTTCCAAGCTCAATGCTGACCTCCGGGGCTGCTGGTTTTGTTTGCAGCATATTTTTCTGTACTCGTCTCTTTAAACACACCATGGGCTTAATGACATCCTGACTATATTATGTGCTGTAGATCCCCAGTCAAAACAGATTTACTACAACATCATTCACTCCCCCAGCTTTCTGGGCAGGATCCAAAAGCCACATTCTGCCCTGGAGAGAAGGAGTGGAGAGCAGCTGGTGAAAGAAGCTGGCAATGAGCCAAGCACACACCAAGTCCAGCTCACACATTTCAGCCCATTTCAAACCATCAGCGAAAAACATGACTGAGAATAAACTATGGTCAAATAGAGTTCCATTTCAGCAGCATCCCATTGGTATGGCTACCCCCCACCTAAATAAGTAACATATTTTGTACAAGAAACTGGGAGCCAGGACAACTGGGTTCTTTTCCTAGCTCTGCTGTAGCAACACAGGATCTATCGTGATTATAGGAAACTGTATCATGTCCCCAAGAACTCCCAATCTGAGGAGATCACAGAGCTCCATTTCCTCTCCATGAAACTGCACGGGATGAGAACAAGTGGCCAACCGTACACCAGGGATGTGAAAGGTTAACCAGTTAAAACCACTAAGCATTACCCTTAATGGGTGATGCTTACCGGTTCCTGTTAACCGATGAGGGCTGGAGTAGCTCCTTGCCTGCCCTGGCAGGGGGCTGCTCCAGCCCCAGAGGGCCTGCTGCAGACAGGGGCTGCTCTGATGCCTCCAACTGAGGTGGGCGGAAGGGGAGGGGGAAAGGAGGGGAACACTCCAGCCTGGCCTGGTCTCTCCTCCCTTCCCCCCGTGCCTCCTTTAACTGGTTAATAGGGATGAGAATGACTAGTCAACTGTCCAATAAGCAAATGCTTATTGACAGGGCTTGACAAACGTCAGCGAGAGCCACTCGCTAGCCCCACACTTCGCACGCGCCAGACCAGCACTGCGGTTTGTCAAGCCCTGCTTATTGGATAGTC